ACATGCAGGCAATACACTCATACACATAAAATAAAAATAATAAATAAAATATATTTTTTAAAATGTTACTTTTCACATTAAAGGTCTTTAAAAGCAATCAGCAATTTGTTGGTTTCAAGAAGTGATGAAGTCAAATGCTCTATATGAAATAAGAAAAATGATTAGTTTGAGAGAAAAAAAAAAGCACACACTTACCATGAGAATGAAAAAGTAGAAAACCCACATCCATCCTAGGTTATCCTGGATCAAAGACACCAAATACTAAAAAGGAGGAAAGCAAAGTATGATAAAATTCTCTATATAAATGAATAAAAAAGAAGGCTGGGAATGTGGCTCAGCTGATAAGACTGCTTGCTTAGTATGCCCTGGTTCGATCTCCGGCACTTCATAAACTGACGGAGCATGGTGGTGCATGACTATAATCCAGCACTTGAGAAGTGGATCAGAAGTTCAAGGTCATCCTCGACTACATAGTGAATTTAAGGTTAGCTTGGATTACACAAGACTACCTCAAAAAAATAAAGTATTAAAAGTAGGTAAAAAGGAGATTAAACATGACTACTTTAGAAAGTTGGGAGCTGGGGTCTGAACAACGTTTTGTCATTTGCATATACGTATTCCCATTTTAAGACAGGGTCTCGCTGTGCAGCCCAGGCTAGCCTGGAACTTGTGCTTCTCCTGTGACAGTTCCTGTCAGTATTACAGGTGTGCACCGCCACATCTGATTCCCTTTAAGTTTTATTACTGGCTCATTCTGTAAGTCTGCAGAGTCCAGGTACAAAGTTGTACAAAAGAAGATGTAAGTTTAGGTCTATTCTTACTTGCTCTGCTATTTGGAGAGGGACAATGTCCTCAGCCACTCCTGCTGGCTCCCTCCGCCTTCCAGTGGCAGTTTCTATGCCTGACTTTCAACACCAGCTGTCTGGCAGCATGTTGCTCACTTTTCTTTTTCTTTTCTTTTTCAGTGTTTCTGAGATAGAGTCTTATTATGTAGCACCGTGGCCAGCCTGGAACTCGAAATGTGGACCAGGCTGGCCTCAAATGCCCTGCTCACTTTCCAACTACACTGCTTGTTCACAGGGTTACGATACCACCCACGTTCCACAATGTAATTCTTGTCTCTAATTTTCGATTACTAAAAACTTAATAGCACTTAATTTTATTGTGGTAAGATCTAACATAAAATTTTAACTTTTTAAACATGTGTATGTGTGTGTATATGTCTGAGTGTCTGTGCACATGTGTGGAAAGGTGCATACATCTGTGCACAAGTGCAAAGGCTAGAAGAGGGTGTAGGGTGTTCTCTATCACTCTCTTCCTATTCCTATAAGGCAGGGTCTCTCCCTAGACATAGGGCTCATGTTTTCTTAGCAAGGCTGGAAGCCAGCCAACCCCAGCAATCCTCCTGTTTATGCTTCTCAGAGTTGGGTTACAGGAGCTGGGGTTACAAGCGTGCTGGGGACTCCCAGCTTGTAACATGAATCCTGGAATCCTAACTACAGTTCTAATTGTACAGCCAGTGCTCTTAACCACTGAGTCATCTCTCCATCCCCTATTTTAACCATTTTTAAATGCATACACTGGTGGCATCAATTGCATTCACAATGATATACAACCTTGGCAGTTCTTTATTTCCAAAATGATTTATCACCAACAGAAGCTCTGTACCTACTAAACAGTAACTCACAGTACCCTTCTCCCTAGCCCCTAGAAACTTTAGTTTTTTTGGGGGGGAGAGGGGAGGGGGATTCTTTTGGTTTAATTTTCTGTTCCCCAAAGACAGGGTCTCACTGTGTCTCCTGGGCTGGACTTGACTCCTGCCTCAGTCTCCCAAGTGCTGGTGCCACCAGCTATGTTTAAGTGTATGGTGAGTATTTGGGGATAGTTTTAGAGTTTCCTTTATGATTGTGACACTGGTTATATTTAACTTAAATACAGGTACCACCACACCTTGCTTAATAACTACTAATTTACTTTCTGAAACTATGACTTTACCTATCCTAGATTACATAATCTTGGGGGGTTTTTGTGTCTGGCTTATAGTTCCAAGGTTCAATTATGTTTCAAATATGTCAGAATTTCATTCCTTTTTATGGCCAAGTAGAATTCCACTGAATGGATATAACACATTTTGCTTATCCATTCATCTGTCAACTGTTGGACACTGGAGTTATTTCTACCTTTTTTTTTTTTTTTTCTGTCTTTTTTGAGACAGGGTCTCCCTGTAGCCCCAGCTGGCCTGGAACTCACTATGTAGACCAGGCTGGCCTTGAACTCCCAGAGTGCTGGGATTAAAATCATGTACCACCACGACTGTGTTTCTACCTTTTAGATACCATAAATAATGTTGTCATCAACACTAGAATACAAATTGAGTCCCTATTTTCAACTGAGGAGGAATAAACCCAGGAGTTGCACTGCTAACATAGGAGTGGCTGCCATTTTATGTTTTTGTTCAAACCAGCAATGTAGGACCTCTGGTTTCTCTACATCCTCACCAGCACTTGTCATTTACTGTGTTTAATTACAGCCATCCTTACTGGGTATAAAGTCAAACCTCACTGTGGTTCTGATTAATCTTCCCCCACTAAAGCTAAGGAGAACCTTCTCGTGTGTTATATTGGCTATTTTTATATATTTCTCATCAAAATGTGTCCCTATGTTTTCTTCTAAGAATTTCACAATTTTAACTCTTAAATTTAGGTCTTGGATCCACTGAGTTAATTTTTGTACAGTATAAAGAACCCAACTACATTCTTTCCAATGTGACTATCTAGTTGTCCCCATGCCATTGATGAAGAGACTTCTTTTCCTCAACAGCTGGTCTTGACACTAGTGTTGAAAATCATCTGACCAGATTCTTTGATCACATTACTAAAATGCATTCATCAGTTGGACATGTTTCAACGCTGTCTCCACATTTAGCTACTCAAATGCTTAAGCTTTAAAATGTCGACATTTATTCTAATCTCTCTTCAGCAGACAATGCAGTTCAATCTGAATCCAAAATATGTGTCAAAAATGTACTAAGTGTGCAGGCAAGATGGCCCAGTGGGTAAGGGCACTTGCCTCCAATCCTAATGACCTGAGTTCAATCCCTGAGACCCACCAACTCCCACAAGCTGTCTTCTGACCTCTACGAGTGTGCCATGGCATATGTACTCCCCACCACACATACACAAAATAAACAAAAAGGACACTAAGCACTGGGAATACAAAGATGGAAGAATAACAGTGCTTTTTGACACAAGAGTCTCACTTATCATGGCTTGGCTTGATCTTGTTCTCACTGTAGAGCCCCAGCTGGCCTTAAAATCAAGGTAATAAAACTGCTCACTGTGGACCTCCCCTGAGACAGGAAGCCTTCTGGATGGGTACCAGTAGCCCTGTTCGATTTCTATGTAATTCTCCTACACTTGTGAAGTATTTTTGGTTTTGTCCTTTAGTCATATAATCAAATATCCTAGGCATATCAATCTTTCTACAGTGCTTTGGAAAATACTAGCAGGCCCCTGTGTGCCAGGAGCAGTTCTAGGTAAGGCCAAAGGAGAACCAAGGCACAAGGCTGCCCTCATGGAGCTTGACTGCTGCAACAAGCAGACATTAACAAACACCCACTATATGACTAGGTGGTGATAAAGCATCAGGATTGTTTACTTTACCTCAACACTTATTTTCCCAGTAAACACTAGCATCTATCAAGTGAGTCACTCTACTTATCAAGCAAACCAGCAAACAAATAGTTCTGGCTACTATAGTAGGGTGATCTTAGCTTAGAAGCTTCCCAACAGTAAAGGAATATACAGGTCCCCAGGTTCCATCTCAGCAAGTCTGCAGATAGCCCAGGGTTCCCTATCCCAGCTAATTCTGCTATAGGACACCTATCAGTCACCCTCTCAACCCTCTCAACAGATGTCTAAACATGGAGGGAAACAGACTGACTCAGGTAGCTGCACAGTCCACAGCCATGTGTGGTGGAGTTCCACATAAAGAATGTGTACGTGTATGTGTTTGCAAAGAGGCATAGCAGAAAGGACAGGCTCAGCATGCAGATATGGGGACAGCATGCAGATGGGGGTCAGCATACAGACTGGGGGACAGTGTACAGGTAGGGGGCTCAGCATGCAGATGGGGGAGTCAGTGTGCAGATGGAGGTCAGCATACGGACAATGACAAGCATGTGCCTCGTGCCCCCATGGAGACAAGCTCAGCGTGGGAGAAAGGGGGTGACAGGCTAGGGCAGAAGGAATAATCTTACAAAGTCTTAGCTTAACTATAGACAGGGAGATTGGGGAGTAAAGATGCAAAGAAGGAACTGAAAAAAGTATAGGGCCTTCTGTATTAGGTCCCATTTCTCAGAGCAGGAAACCAATGGCTTTCTGTATAGTGGTCCACAGCCCAAGAGTGCCACCTACTGTGGGAGCAGCAAGAAAAGGTTTCCTGCCCAGCCCTCTCCAGTTCCCACCTGGCCCACAGCAGCACCAATGCTCCCAGTTCCATCAACGATTCCTGTGACCGTGGCCAGTGCCTCGCTGCTCCCTTGGATCAGCTCTTGGCGACCCAAGTCTGCAGAAATAGCCGAACTAATCATATTGGAAGGTCCACCAATAAAAAACCCTGAAGCCACAAAAAGAACAGGTTCTCATTAAAATATCACTCACAACAATTCTAGTCATCTCCTGGGTAAGGCAAAAAATCAGTCCAATATTTTAATTAATATGTTGAAGAGAAAGAGAAAATAAAGAAGCCATTCCTGGACAGTATCATCTTCAAACTAATTGGTAATCACTTTTCTAAAGCCCCTTCTTGAATTATGTGACACTCTAGTGTATTTATAGAACCTAAAGACATGAAAGATACAGTGAAACAGGCAGCCTTTCTAATTCTGGAATGTGGGAATTCATTAATAACTAACTGCATGCATTGTCAAATTCTATTACAGCAGAATTGCACCGCACAAGCATCTGGCTACCCAAATTCAAACACTCTGAGAAGAAAGGGGACAGGGCAACTCTATTTCAATGGTACAGGGACTGACTCCACCTGTTATGTTCGACTCTGGTAAGCACTGACTCTACCTGTCTCTGTTCTGGTAAGGACTGACTCTACTTGTCATGTCACTGCTCTGCTAAGGACTGACTCTCCCTGTCATGTCACTGCTCTGCTAAGGACTGACTCTACCTGTCATGTCACTGCTCTGCTAAGGACTGACTCTACCTGTCACTGCTTTGGTAAGGACTGACTCCACCCGTCATGTCACTGCTCTGGTAAGGACTGACTCCACCTGTCATGTCACTGCTCTGGTAAGGACTGACTCTACCCGTCATGTCACTGCTCTGGTAAGGACCGACTCCACCTGTCATGTCACTGCTCTGGTAAGCACTGACTCTACCTGTCACTGCTCTGGTAAGGACTGACTCCACCGTCATGTCACTGCTCTGGTAAGGACTGACTCCACTGTCATGTCACTGCTCTGGTAAGCACTGACTACCTGTCTCTGCTCTGGTAAGGACTGACTCTACCCGTCATGTCACTGCTCTGGTAAGGACTGACTCCACCTGTCATGTCACTGCTCTGGTAAGGTTGCCCCAGGGATGGGACATGGTTTGGCCTTGTAAACTGAATTACACTATTAGACAGGGTCATGCATATATGGAGTTTTTTTTCTTTTTATTTTTTGGAGTTTTTTTGAGACAGGGTCTCCCTATATCCCCCCTCCCCCCCGACCTGGAACTTATTATGTAGACCAGGCTGATCTCAATCTCACAGAGATCCACCTGCTTCTGCCTCCCAATAGGATTAAAGGTATGTGCTACCACACCTGGCTTATTGCTGAGTTTAAAAAAAATAATTTTTCTGGGTTGGAGAGATGGCTCTGTGGTTAAGAACACTGGCTGTTCTTGTAGAAGACCGGGGTTTGAATCCCAGCACCCACATGGCAGCTAACAACTGTCCGTAACTCCAGTTCCAGGGGATCAGACAGCCTCTTCTGCTCTCCACGGGCATTGCACACAGGCAATACACGCATACACATAAAATAAAAATAATAAGTAAAATATTTTTTAAAATAATAACAATAATAATTCTTCCCTAACATGTTCCCTAATTGTACCCAACTATTTTATCTAGAGTTCAGGTGAAGAAATACTGACCAATTCTGATACAAGGGAAAAAGCTAGCTATCCTGGACTTTTATAAGCAGATGAACTGGTTTCCAATGTGACAGCTTTCTAAGTCAATCCGGACCTGGGCAACAATCAGTGTTTAGGAATCTCTCTCCACAGGTACAGCCTCTGTCATGAGCAGAGAGCAGAAGCTGACAAAGAGCCATCTTTATTTCTATCACGTGAGTTCTACAAAGCTAAAGTTTTAATATCACTCCATCTTAGGAGACAGTTTCCCTTGTTCCTCTGAATTTCCAAAATGATCTGCCGTACCTGTAATGGTCATCAGAAGCGCATTGATGGACTTATTGTTTGGCGAGCCTGTGAGGAGACAGACACAAAACACAGCGACTTGAAAAGCAGTTGCATGCCCCTTGTCACGGCGCACAGCGGCTACAACCCCACCACCTCACAAATCCCTCCAGAGACAACAGACGACTCTCACCACCCTCCAGCTTTGCCATGTCTGTCTCTTGTTGCTGCTCAAGCTAACGACAGTCTAAAAGCTAGAGAAAGACTACCCAGCTTAAGAACACATACACCAAGCCTACTAATTACCATCTTCCCGCTTTTGAAATCTTGCCCCTTTCATGGTTTTATTGGCCCTAATGCTGTCCCTCTGGAGCCGCCCCTCAAACAAAGCAGTACACTCCCAAGCAAGCTTTTAAACAAATCCACAAAGCAGAAGACATGCCAGTTTCCTCCCTACACAAATAACACCATGTGATGACAGTTCCCAGGCACTCATAAATGACACAAAGGTGATACATCATGCCTCAGAGAGGGTCTCAGGCTCTCTCCAGGGCTGACCACTGACTCGGAGTAAATATCTGCCTTTAAGAAACAGAAGCCAATGCAATTACAAAGGAATACTCACGACTATACCCAATGAGGGACCCAACTGCCAGGAACAGGCTGAGGGCCAGCACGGGCGCTCTCTTCTGGAGCACATCAGAGATGAAGCCTTGCAGAGTCCCACCTTGAAGCACAAAGTGAGAAGCAACTCTGAGTGAGCCTGGGTTACCTCCCTCTGGCAGCCTCTGACTCTGTCAGTTCCCACCAAAGGAACATCTGGCTCTCCTAACACTTCCCTTTAGGAACATGAATGGACTGTCATAATGATGGCCCATGGGACAAGATACCACAAGTCACTCATGAAAACCACCATTATCCTGTACTTACTGTTTTTTTCTGAAAAGAAAAAAAACCAACCACAACAAAAAAATTATAAATGCTTTCCCTGGTTTTCCTGTATTTTAAAAGATGATTAATCGAACCAAGTGTGATGGTACACACTTGTAATCCCAGCACTCAGGAGGTCGAAGCATGAAGATTATGATTTTGAAGAGTTCAAAACTAGCTTAGGTGCCTAGTAAGAGTCTTACTTTAAAAAAATAAAGAGCTGGGCTTGGTGACACACGCCTTTAATCCCAGCACTCGGGAGGCAGAGGCAGGTAGCTCTCTGTGAGTTCAAGGCCAGCCTTGTCTACACAGTGAGTTCCAGGCCAGCTGGGGCTACAAGGAGACCCTGTCTCAAAAAGACTACACAAACAAAAAAGTGTGTGTGTGTGTGTGTGTGTGTGTGTGTATGATATATAATTTGCTAGCATGTACAAAGCCCAGGGTTCAATCCCCAGCACTGCAAAATAAAATAAAATAGTATACAATGAAGCAATTTTAAAAACACTAAAAAAAAAAGGCAGAAAACCACCCTTTCCGTTAGTCCCACCTCTAGTATCTGATGATCTATATACACTAAGGTATTATTTTTGCTTCCTTGGCTGGAGATGGCAGGGAAGGTGGGAGAAAACCAAAATAAACACATTCCCACCCCAACTTGAATCTCATGAAATCAGCTTTAGAACCACACTATCCCAGAAAGCTCACAAAAGGGCTGCGTTAAAAGAGATTCCTTAGTGTTTTCCAAGACAAAAGAACTGATCCATCAACAAAGGACTAAGAAAAGACAGCCCCATAAATCACAGGGCTGTCTTGAGCTGGGCCTTTTTTGTTTTTACAGGAGTTTGGTTGTTTACTGGTAGGACAGGTTAGGAAAGATGTCTGTAGAATAAACAATAAAACACAAAAGACAGCAGGTTGCCGGCTCTACAGAGGAAAGGGATGCGCACTGGCGTACCTATGATTCCTCCAACATCGTACCAAATGGATAGCTGGTCAGCCTCGGCCTCCTTCCACCCGAAGTTGTTGCTCAGATAAAAGGGCAACCAGAAGAAGAAGGAGTAATTCACCAACTTCAGGCAGGCATAGGCCAAGGAATACTACAGGGAAAACATGAAACTCTTAATGAGGAATGCACGGCAGCTAACTTTAATGTGATTATAAAGTAAAACAAAACCCAGGAGTCAGAGGTGAACAGCCCGATTTTAAAAGTGACCATGTTTACAAATCCCCCCCTTGCCCTTCTTCTCTTTACCCCCTATTAGTTTCTCGAAAGGCCTTCAGAATGCATACCATGCATGGCTATTTCTTAACTGTTCCCAATTTCTTCTATCATTTCTCTGATAGAAGGAAACCAGTGTTTGGAACCCAGAAGGCAGGGCACACACCCGTATTTCTTACTCAGACAAAAAGCACAAGGTATTCATGCTAACCAGCATCAGCCATACGCAAGTTAATCCAGCAAACATCACCACAGGCAGTCAAACTTCTTGGTTTTCCTACTTATTATATTAACACTTGTCAAACATGGAGAGTAATGCAACTCAATCACAGACAGAAAAATGTCCTTCTGGGGTCTACTTTCCTGTGAGGGCATCCAAAAGCCCTACATCCCACATCCTGGCGTAGCAAAGAGCAGCACCTCTGGTGGGCTCCAAAGGAAGACACATGGTCATCATTGGCCCCTGGCCTCTTTTGAAAGAAAACAGTTACAGCTGCCTTAAGTGGGTGATTGGGCTGAGACTCCTGTATGTGGCACATCATTACCAGGAAATCCTGACCCTTAGCATCAAAGGAAAGGGGGAGGAGCAGAGGGGCTGACTTCAAAGGGTGTCTGGCTAGTATAGCTTGCCCTGAGCTGCCAGCTGTTCCCTAGGTGCCACTTGTTTTAATAGAGCTTCCCTGGCAGGGCAACAGCCACCCCATAGAGAGCCACTTCCCAATCATCAGAGCTCTCTGTCCAGACAGCCTGCTACAAAGACAAAGGCATGGAGCTAATGAGACTTCCTTCCCATCCCCGGCTACCAGAGAACAATGGCTTAGGAAGTACAAAGGAACCAGCTAGAGTTCCATGTTTAGCCACAACGAATGGAAGTTCTGTCTCAACAGAAACAATTGCCAGCAAAATATTTTAATAACTGGTTGAAAGACAGAATCTGAGCATTAAGAACAGACCTAAAAGAACCAGTGTCTCCCTAACATCATATACTGTCTTTGGATTAAAGACTTGTAGGGCATTAATTACACTTATATTTTAACTCAAACTGTTGAAACATTAGTTTTTTGTTTTTCCTGAGGGGCATGGGCAAAAGAGACCTGGTAAGAAATAAGATGGTCTGGAGACTCTGACTCAGCCTGAGGGATGCATGCATAAGCACCATTAAAACAAAGTGACAAAAACAGGTGCTTGTTCACCACACAATGAGCCAGTGTCCCAGACCCAGGATAGACGGCTATGTCTCCATCCCACAGGAAGGGGAACTAAGACACAGGGTGGTTTGGGTGACCCCAGGTCTCAGAGAAAGTCAGTGGGTAAGCTGGAAACATAACCCAGGCCTCTTCTTGAAACATCAAGACAGAAAGCTGCAGCAGAAGGGTTCAGTTCAGGGAAGAAAGTTTTCCCGACTGCAAAGTGTGGAAATGCATTACCAAGAAATACTGGAGTTTTCTGCTCTAGGCCTTCTAAAAGAACATCTCTCCATCTCCCTGCAATGACTAGAACGCAGGTAAGTAAGGCAGACAACAAACCATTCATACCTCCTCTCAGTCCACACTGCAAGTCAACAGACCCAAGGTCTGTCTATAGTTAAAAATCTCAGCTTAAAAAACAAACAAAAACACCAACAAGTTGGATGTGGTGGTGCACACCTTTAGTCTCAGCAGTCAGGAGAGAGGAGCAGAGGCAGAGGCAGAGGCAGGCAGATCTCTGTGAGTTCAAGGCCAGCCTGGTCTACATAGTGAGTTCCAGGCCAGCTGGGGCTACAGGGAGACCCTGTCTCAAAAAGACTAACAACAACAACAAAAATCTCAGTTTTCCTTTCTCAGCTGCCCACTGGACCAGGGTCAGCAAACCAAGGCCATGCCCACCTGTGCCATGTTGCCTACGGCTCCTATGCACTACAGAGCTAAACAACTATAGCTAAGACTGTTTTTTCAGTTCCCCACAGCTGAAAATATTTAGTCTCTGGCTTTTCATGGCTTATCAGGGAAGCTGAGGGTTACTACACAAACATCTTAATATATTATTCACCAAATGAAAGCAGCCTAATGCAGGGCTGAGTGCTACCAAGGGCATGACCCCTGGGCCAGCTGTATAAGGATCCGAGCCAGTACTCACTGGTATGACTCCAGGAAGGCAACAAGCCTGGTGAAAGCTTATGGCCTTCACTTGGGTGGCAGCGCTGTCCCCCTGGATAGAGTAATTGGCCTCATATTCATCTTCGTTTTCAGGACCCGTAATGAGCGGCCTGTGTGAATCTTCCTCAGAGTTTTCTTCTGCTTCGATACCTGAGAGACCTAGGACAGTAGTAACAACAACCATCATAGAGCACCTACTGTGTGCACGGCGCAGTACTAAGGGGCTTGCATGTATCACTTACAGGGTCAAAACTATTTTTCTTTTCATTTTGTAGAAGAAACTAACGTGCAGAGACCAAAGGCAACTAAAGCCAATTAAGGTCAGAGAGCCTGTTTGTACTCAAAGGATGAAGCACTGTGCTCCTCTTGCTTCTGTGGTGGTAACTTGTACACATTCTATATTTAACCATAATATCAAACTGAATCATTTTTATGAAGGAAAAGTCTCAAGATATAAAATCCCTAGCCAGTGTCTCAATTATTCAACTCATTTGCAAATGCTATAAAAGACTTGGCTGTAATGTGAACAGGACGCAAAGGCAAAAATGCTTCTTTAATTCCCCAAGAGGAGCGTGCAGTTTTCCTAAGAAGAGAGATTCCATTTCCGGCCCTCAGATTTTCCTTGGCTCCTAAACAGTAAGACATTTTGAATGGAAGAGATGGCTTCTCCTCACCAATTTCTTCTGGTGACACTAGTAGTCCAAAGAAGATGATGATCCCACCAGCAAACTGCACAGACGAGGTCACCAGAAAGGCGTACTGGAGGAGAGGAGAGGTGGCTCTTACACACAGGGTGGTCATCACAGACACATTCATTAGACACATGAGGGAGGAGGGCAGAAAGGACAGCAAGAGGGGAAGAACTTCAGCACCCAGGGCTTCTATGCTAGGCACAATGCAGAATGCTGAACTTGTGAGTCCTTAACTTCATTTTCCTAAGAACATGGTGAGGCTCAGAGGAACCTTAGGGTCTCCCTGGATACTAAGTGGCACTAGTAGGATTGGGAAATCAGGATCAGCTCCTAAAATCTTATTCTTTGTTCACCCAACCTCGTACAAAAGACACAGTATCTCCCCCTTGAAGATACTATACCCAGTTGAGGGGATTAAACACCACCTAAAACAACAATAAAAGGCAACATGCAGCTGAGTCAACGAGAAGGTCCAGGCCTAGTAAGAAGCATGCAGGACTCAGAGAGAGAAAGTTGGAGGGTGAAGCAGCTAGACTTTCCAGGCACAACAGCAAAAAAGATACTGGCGGGCTAGGGATGAGCTAGGATATTCACTGCATGCTTCAGGGAGAGGGCTTCTGCTCAGAACCACAGGGACGAAAATGCCACAGAAAGCTAATACCAGGAGGAAAGATTCAACAGCCAGGCCACACAACTGACTGATGCAGAGACAGATAGTCTGAATTTTTAAATGAGTGACAAAATTAAAGCAGTGTTTGGCAGAAACCAAATCCAGTGGCAGCATGTGATGAAATGAAATTCACATTTGAATCAGTTAATACAATCCAGGTGTGAAGGTAAGACACGTAGAATAAACGTAGCTGTGGTTAAAGGGCGGGCATGTTGGACAGCTTCAGTTGTCAACCTGACATACCTAGGAAGAGGGACCCTCAACTGGGAAATTTCCTCTACTGGCCTGGACTATAGGCATGTCCGTGAGGCACTTTCTTGACTGCTGAGTGATATGCAGGGGCCCCCACCTAATGTGGGTGGTACCACCCCTGGGCAGGTGGTCCTGGGTTGTACAATAAAGCAGGCTGAGCTGGGTATGGTGGCGCTCACCTTTAGTCCCAGCACTCAGGAGGCAGAGGCTGGCGGATCTCTGTGAGTTCAAGGCCAGGCTTGTCTACATGGTGAGTTCCAGGACAGCTGGGGCTACAGGGAGACCCAAAAGGAAGGAAGGAAGGAAGGAAGGAAGGAAGGAAGGAAGGAAGGAAGGAAGGGCTGAGCATAGACCAAAGAAGCAAGCCAGTAAGTAAGCAGCACTCCTCCATGGTCTCTGCTTCAGCTCCTGCCTTCAGGTTCCTGACTTGCCTTCCCTCAATGATGGACTGTGATCCTGATGTGTGAGCCAAATAAACCCTTTCCTCCCCAAACTGGTTTTAACCAGAGTTTTATCACAGCAATAGAAAGCTAACTAAAACAATGGGCTTCTACCTAGACCAAAATCCTTGCAAGTTGTTTAAAAATTTACTCTTTGAAAGAGCAACTCATTGCCTTTTAGTGGCACACACCTTTAATCCCAGCACTCGGGAGGCAGAGGCAGGCGGATCTCTGTGAGTTCAAGGCCAGCCTGGTCTACATAGTGAGTTCCAGGACAGCTGGGGCTGCAGGGAGACCCTGTCTCAAAAAGACCAAAAGAAAAAAAAAAAAGCAAAAAGCAACTCACTTAGGTTTTTGAGTGGTAGGTAATATATTCAAGAAGAATGTAAGTAGTAAGATGTAGGAAAAAACCTTTCTCCCCCACCCCTTCCCAATCTACTCCATTCTCCCAATTGTCAAAACACATAAAAACTGCTGTAATGTAGTTTTTGCTGTCCAGAGACTGTTAAGAAACATATAAGCTCATATAATCATATTCACTGCTTTGCCCCCTACTCTCTGAGACCATCCCAGGGTCTTGATCTCCTCCAGATCAGACATCTTCCTGATCCTACTTCCTAGCTACACAGCATCTTCCACCAGGTGGCTCAGAGTTGAAATGCTTCCCTATCAGTTGACACCTCAATCTCTCGCTATCACAAGCAATGCTCAAATAACAATTTATTTATTTTATTTTAATTTTTTTTGGCCTTTTTGAGACAGGGTCTCCCTGTAGCCCCAGCTGTCCTGGAACTCACTATGTAGACCAGGCTGGCCTTGAACTTACAGAGATCCACCTGCCTCTGCCTCCCAGTGCTGGGACTACAGGCGTTTGCTACCATGCCCAGCTTCAAAAAACTTTTTAGATAAAATTCTTTTGTACATTGTAAGTACATCCACCTGTGCAATTAATTCCTAGCAGTGGAACAGCTAGGAACAGCTGCAATTCTGACAGATACTGCCAACAATTGCAATGTCCATTGCTTCACAGCCTCAGGAACAAAACAGGTTACCAACCTTTTGGATTTTACCAAGCTAACAAGTATACACTAGTCTTTCTGTCTCTCTCTCTTATTTATTTATGCACTTATTTTGCTATAAAATAATTTACTGAAAAAAAAATAGTCTTCAAAATGTACCTTCTGTGATTTTTCAAGTAATTTGCATACTTCATTTTATTCCTTCACACATCAAAATACTGGAAGCCAGAACAAAAAAATGTTCAGCTTTTTTTCTTATTCAGTATCATGACATGACACAGCCAGTGTACCCAGTCTCTTGTTCTGCTGGTTCTTGAGAGGCCACGGAGCCATTTACTAAAAGGGTTTCCTTTCTTGCATCATTCCGACTCCTAGGAAAATTTGAGGTGGACACCTAGGACTTTTTTGCCATTTGATTCCTCAGGAATTCAAAGCAGTCAAAAAATGTTATAAATAATTGTCAAAATTCCATGCTGATTCTCCCAAAAGACACAGAGCTCAGAAAGTAATCTGTCCTTATTCCTCTTTCTACATGCAGACATCTTATTTAAATTTGAGCTCTGTGAGGATCTACCACCATTCAGACTCTGCCAAATGCACAGCAGGCTGGCCACTCACCACCCCAAAGGACCTCCTCCCACTGTACAGGCTAATCTGTAGGTGGCAGTGCCCCTCAGAGAGTACCATGTTGATGGAAGGTTCCTTCACAGGGGCTCTTCCATGCCCACACTCAGGACTCAGTTTTATAATCTTTTCCTTTCTTGTATTATACTCTTCAAAGACATCTATGCAGCCGGGATGGTGGCGCACGCCTAGGCAGGCAGCTCTCTGGGAGTTCGAGGCCAGCCTGGGCTCCATAGCGAATCCAGACCAGTTGGGGCTACAGGGAGACCCTGTCTCAAAAAGACCAAAAAAAAAAAAAAAAAGACTTCTACGCTTGCCAACAGGCTACAACTCAAGCTTTAGTGTTTATTACACAGCCCAAAGCCCTGCAAACCAGGTTAGCGTCCTTTTATCAGTATCACAAAATGTCACAGCCCAGGAACTAGAAAGCCTTCTTGCCAGGAGTGGTGGTCCATGCCTATAATCCTAACACTTGCAAAGTGGAGGCAGGAGGATGAGGAATTTAAAGTCACCCTTGGCTAAGCAGCAAGTGTACACAGACACACACACACAAAGCTTGAAAGAGATACCCACCTCATAACCATACTGCAGAACAGATGAAGCCAGGCATGCTCCCAAAATATTGCCCACTGAAGCACATGCACTCCAGAGACCAAAGACAACTCCTCGGCTTTGAAGAAACAAGGGAAAATCAAAATATGTCAGAAGGATTCTGTGCGTAGGTCCAAATGGAAAACTATTAGAACAGTAAATGTATTCATTACAAAGAATCAACATTCTAGTTTAAATTTTAAGGAAAATCTCAGAACAAAGCTGGGTGTGGTGGCAAATGCCTTTAGGACTCAGGAGGCAGAGGCAGGTGGATCTCTGTGAGTTCAAGTCCAGCCTGGTCTACATAGTGAGTTCCAGACCAGCTAGGGCTACAGGAGATCCTGTCTCAAAGAGACCAAAAAAAAAAAAAAAAAAGAAAAAAAGAAGGAAAGATAGATCTCAGAACAATAAAACATCAGTTCTCTTCTAAAATTTAATGATATTAAAATTTAATTTAGAGGTTGGAGATTGAGCTCAGTGGTAGGGCACTCAAAAAGCAAGTGTGAAGTCCTGAGTTCATTATAGAGCTGGTGGAAGAGAAGGAATTCAAGGCCATGAGCTAAGTGTGGTGGCTCATGCCTGGGTCTCGGCACCTGGAAGGCTAGGACAAAAATGCTGTGAATTCCATCCAGGTCAGCCATGCTACACAGAAAGACCCTGTCTCAAGAAAGAAAAACAAAAAGCCCAAAACTCATGGAGCGGACATTATGTAACACAGGCTGGCCTTGAATTAGGTAACAGGGACTGAAGTGGGGGAATATGATTTAGGAGGAATCTGGCTTTTAGTAACTGTAATGTTAAGCAACCACAATCTTAGCAGACTTTGAAGATTATTGATATGGTTCCTAGGAAGTTGGACTCTAAAATAAATGCCTGACTTTTCTCACTTTAATGCTATTTAACCTCAGTCTGCTGAGTATTTGAAAGGCCAAGGCAAAAGGATAACGAGTTCAAGGCCAGCCTGTGCTACATAATGAGACCTTGTCTCAAAATAATAAAAAAGAAAAAAAGAATGTCTTCCTTTCACAATTAAACTGCAGGCAATACAGAAGCAATTAGCCATGGCTGCAGCCACAGTAACAGGGCTTTCTCACGTTCTTTTTTCTTTGTGATGTAGCAAAAGAGATAACAGAACAGACTGTTCTGTTACTGCCACCAAAGACCCAGGGTGAAAGCTTGGAAATCTCTCAACTTGCTGGACAGTGGCACACGCTTAGTCCCAGCACTCAGGAAGCAAAGAAAGACAGTTCTCTGAACTGTGATTTTGAGATCAGCCTGGTCTACATAGTAAGATCCTGTCTCAAAACAGGCATGGTAGCACACATATTTAATTCCAGCATTCGGGAGGCAGAGGCAGGCGATCTCTGTGAGTTGGAGGCCAGCCTGGTCCACATAGCAATTTCCACAGCTACAGGGAAACCCTGTCTCAAAAAGACCGAAAAAACAAAAAACAAGCAAAGAAAAGAAAGAACTCTCTCAACTCATGCTTGTTTGTTAAAACTAGTAATCTTTGACTGATGGGGTTTCACTTGGTCGAACTTTTGTCTTTTATATTTTATTTTCATCTATATTTTCTGATTTATTTATAACAAACTATCATTTGTACCTTTTTTTCTCCCCCTTTGTTCTTTTTGAGACAGGGTCTCTCTGTAGTTACAGCTGGCCTAGAACTTTGCTATGTAGATCAGTCTGGCCTCAATCAGAAATCTGTCTGCCTCTGCCTCCTGAGTACTGGGATTAAAGGTATGTGCAACCACACCTGTCTTCATTTGCATCATTTTTTAAAATCACAAAGAAAAAAAAAAATCACCTTAAGCTGAAGGGATGACTCTGGTTAAGAGCACTGGCTGCTTTTACAGAACACCCACATAGTGGCTAGTTCCATCCAGGGAATCTGATGCCCTCTTCTGGCCTCTGCATGCATTGCATGCACATGGTGCACTTAAATACATGCAGGCAAACACTCATACATATGCAATAAAAATAAATAAATAAGGCTGGGCGTGGTGGCGCATGCCTTTAATCCCAGCACTTGGGAGGCAGAGGCAGGCAGATCTCTGTGAGTTCGAGTCCAGCCTGGTCTACACAGCAAGTTCCAGATCAGCTGGGGTTACAGGGAGACCCTGTCTCAAAAAGACCAAAAATAAATAAATAAATAAATAAATAAATAAAAATTTTTAATCTTAATTAAGCCAAATGTGATAATGCATGCCTTGAGTTTTATGGAGGGAGAGGTAGGCAGAGTTCTGTGAATTTAAGTCCAGCCTGGTCTACAGAGAGTTCCAGGACAGCTGGAGCTACATAGTGAAACTCTTGAAGCCAACCTTAAGTTCAAGATTAGCTTAGCAAGACCCTATCTCAAAAATGAAATTTTATAAAGGGCTATGGATATAATTCAGTGGCACAGCACTTGCCTAGCATGTATGAAGCCCTGGGTTCAATCTACAGTATCACACACACACACACAAAAAAAAAAAACACTTCACTTTCTCATCTACTGCAAAAGTAAACCAGAATACCACAAGCTAACCCTTTACAGTGCAATCCTGCTAGTCCACTGATACTAGGATGGGAAGAAAACAGAAAGCAGTGGCACATTGAAATATAATCTGAGCATCCCTGAATGGTGCTTATCCTAGGCCCAAGACAGTTTATAGGTGAACTTTCACATCACAAATTGTTAATGACCAAGGGAGCTTCCATTATGAAACTGGGAAAGATGGAAACTGCCAGATCATGCATTGAATGCCACAGTGGGCAGGCAGTGTCTGTTGTATACACTGGTTCTCATATACAAGCGCGAACATGCAAAAAAGACACAGACCATATGGAAAACACACATGCACCTGACAACACGCACATATTGATGAAGGGAAAATGACTAAATTTCAGGTTAACAATGTTCCTAAAAAGAGAACATTGCCAGCAATGCAAAAGTCGACTTTTCTCAGCTTATTTCCCACCCTATGATCTGAGCACACCTTCTGCCTGGATGGCCTTGAGAACGGATGCATCAGCAGGTACCTTCCTTCATCCTACAGCCCATGCCATACACAAAAAGTCCAACATCCTCTAACAATCACATGGAGGTTGGGGTTGGGGCTGCTCCATCTAAGTCCCAAAGTTTGGCATTCATCTGAATCTATTAGAGCCCTTGTTATGTGACTTGAGGCATGTCACATGGATAACTTTATTTTTTTATTTTCTACTAGGGATTAAACCTAGTGTCTAGTGCATGCTAAGCAAGTGCTCTACCAGTGGGCTATGTCCCCACCTTTCATACTTGTGAACTCAGCTTCCTTATCGTTAATGTAATGATAATATAACCACTGAGTCTCAAAATAGGGAGGAAAGCATGTGGGACTATTACATTTTCTAAAGGGGAGATGGGTTTAAGAAGAACCAGGACATGGATGGCCCATTCTCAGACTCTGAAAAAGGCCTGCAATGTGAGGAATATGCCTCACAGAGTGTCTATAGACCATCGCTGAGGTCCACAATACACTCTGCCATGAGCCTTCTCTCCCATAATTACTCTGTCTAAAATAGAAGACGGGGCAGTGTCTAAAACATCAACTGAGTTTGACAAGATTTAATAATCCAACATTAACACAATCAAAGAAGGAAGAGGTGACATACCCAGCTTTTCCAAACCAGTTGCCCATCACAGCAACCACACAGGGCCAGCCAGTGGACTGTAGCAGGCCGTTCACAATCCACAGGCAGCAGTAGAGCCATTTGTTGTAGAAGTGTAGCCATTCTGTAAGGGTGCCAAAGACAAACACCTTCAAGAGAAGGAAAGAAAAAGGGATATGTGATAACCACATGGACACTTTCAGTATACTCAACTCCCTTCCAGGGAGTTAGAATTTAACTAAACTCTATGAGTTGACTCAATCAACAAAAAACCCTGACTAGAGAACAGTAAGCTCATGGACACTACCCTGCACAGCAGCTAATGTGTCAGGCACTGTTCCAAACGTCCGTACAGACACACACCATTCTCACTACAACCCCAGGAGAGGACCTGACTACCCCTTGCAAATGAGGAAGGTGAAACACTGGAAAATCTTAGGACAGGAAACTACAGGAGGAGGAGGAAAACTCAGGCTGTCCCAGTCTAGGGAACCTGTGGTCTGACCCACTATCTACCTACTCTTCAGGAAAGAGAGACTGTGACAGAAATAACTAGCTGAGCAGCAGCAAGTTACAAGTGCCTGAAGAAAAACGTAAACATGAGAGCTCAGAAGAGGCAATGAGTGATTGCTTCCAGGAGTAGGGACAGGAGAGTCAGAACCTTTGAAAGAGGTTCAAAGTCAGGCCTTAAAGACGTGTCATGGGGTGGAGAGATGGCTCAGCAGTTAAAAGCACTGCTCCTGCAGAGGACCAAGGTTCAGTTCCCAGCACTCACATGGTGGGTGACAGTCATCTGTAACTCCAATTCCAGAAGATCTGACACCCTCTTCTGACCTTTACAGGTACTGTAGGACATGGGTGTATGTGCTGGATAGCTTTAGTGTCAACTTGACACACCTGGGTTGAGGAAGCCTCACTTGGGGAATTGCCTCCATAGGACTGGCCAGTGGCCATGTCTGTGGGGCATCTTCTTGATTGCTGAGTGATGTGGAAGGGCCCAGCCCACTATGGGTGGTGCTACCCCTGGGCAGGTGGGCCTGTGTTGCATAAGAAAACAGGCTGAACAGGGGCCAGAGGAGCAGGTCAGTAAGCAGCATTCCTCCATGGCCTGTGCTCCAGCTCCTGCCTCCAGGTTCCTGCCCTGAGTTCCTCCTACCTTGGGCTCCCTGATGAACTGTGACCTGGGAGATGGAAGAGAAATAAACCCTTTCCTCCCCAAGTTGGTAGTGGTCAGAGTGTTTTGTACCCTCAGCAATGGAGAAACAAGCTAGAACAGTGCACTTACACACAAGAGGGCAATACACGTAAAATAAAAATAATAAATTTTAAAAATATATATTTATTTTTATTTTACGTGTATGCGTGTATTGCCTGGATGTATGTAAGTGCACCCATGTCGTGCAATGCCTGCAGAGGACAGAAGAGGCTGTTGGATCCCCTGGGACTGGAGTTACGGACAGTTGTTAGCTGCCATGTGGGTGCTGGGATTCGAACCTGGGTCTTCTGCAAGAACAGCCAGTGTTTCTAACTGCTGAGCCAGCTCTCCAGCCCCAATAAAAAATATTTTTAAAACACATGTCACGTGGCCCTGATATGAAGGAGACACTGAGTCAGACCAGGGAGAGGTGAAATGAGGACCATTTAAGGCAACCAGAACACGAAACCAAAGCACAGAGGAGGTGGGGCACACCATTAGTCCCAGCACTCAGGAGGCAGAGGCAGGCAGATCTTTGTGAGATCAAGGCCAGCCTGGTTCACACTGTGAGTTCCAGACCAGCTGGGGCTACAGGAAGATCTTTTCTCAAAAAGACAAAAAAAAAAAAAAAAAAAAAGGAAAATAAATAGAGAGATGGCTGTGTGGTTAAAAGCATTAGCTGCTCTCATGGAGGAACTAGATGCTCGGTTCACAGAACCTACACAGTGACTAACAATCATCTGTAACTCCAGCTCCAGGAGATCCAATGCCTTCCTCCTTTGGGCACTGCATGAACATGGTGCACCTACATACATGCAGGTAAAACACCAATACACATAAAATAAAAATAAATCAATTAGGGGCTGGAGAGACAGCTCAGCGGTTAGAGCACTGACTGCTCTTGCAGAAGACCCAGGTTGGATTCCCAGCACCCCCATGGCATCTATGAACCATCCTTAACTCTAGTTCCAGGGGAATCCAAAGCCCTCTTCTGACCTCCACAGCACTGCACAACACCAGTGCACTCACATACATGCAGGCAACACACTCATACACATAAAATAAAAATAATAGATTTTTAAAATCAATTTTAAAAATTTTAAAACAACAACAAAAAAAGATCCACCTAACTGACCAGCATACAAGGGTAACAAGGGTCACAACACAGGAGTGATCTCACTCTCCCATTCCACCTTGAGAAGTAGGAGGGTTATTTGAATTCTAGAATATCTGGTCAAAATAGTCATAATTTTTTTTTTTAATTTTTATTTACTGTTTTTTGTGTGTTTGTGATGTGCAGGAGTGAGTGTGGCACACACATGCCAGGGGGGTGCACATGTTGGGGCCGGAGGACAACTTCTGAGCGTTGGTTCGTTCTGGCCACCTCTAGGGTCATCAAGGCTTGCTTTGCAAGCACTTTTAATTACTGAGCCATCTCGACAGCCTACTAATAATTACTGTAATTATAAAACCTTCCAACTTACCACTAATGCAGAAGAGCACATGCCAAAAGATAGAACCCATCGTAAATTCAGTCGATCCCCAATGATGCCACTGATGAAGAGACCCTAAAAATGAAGCATTCATTTATAGCTCTAAATAGTAACAGACTAAAAGAGGTAACCCACACTGCAAAGCAAATGAAGCAAGCTGAACAGAGGTTGACTGAAAAACCAAACCTTAGTCACACACCTACATTAGCTGTCTATGGATGCCAGTGTGTCAGGAAATGACATGGTCTCTTGCACATATATTGCGCTGAGAACATTCTTCAGTGAGACACTGTGACTCAGGCACACTTTGGTTTTACTTGACTCCCTAACTGAAAACAAATAGGAATATATCTGATAAAACAGGCCCCCAAAATATATTATATCTTCTAGACATGCCGGATTCCTAAGCATCGGGCCTAAGCTTTCCAAGGAAGCCTCTGAAACATCTGCATTTGGAGTTAAGAAGGGTGTCCACAGGCACTTCAGTCTTGGCTGGGACTTTGTAAGAAGTAAAATGAATAAATGTCTGGAAATTTTTTTGAGACAGGGCCTCACTATGTAGCCCTGGCTGGCCTGGAATTCTCTATGTAGACCAAGCTAGTCTCAAACCCACAGAAACTCGTCTACCTCTGCCTCCCAAGCGCTAGGATCAAAGGTGTGAGCCACCACGCCCAGCAAGATCAATTATTTCTAATAAACTGACTACCTCAATGATACAGAACTGTTAGATGATAAACATCATGGTGTTTCTCCCTTGATACTAGAGCAGCATCACATAAGCATTAAAACAGTTTTAGTGGTCTACAGATGCTTCAAGTAGTCTTGTGCTATCTGTGATAAAGAAGACAAAGGAAAATCTCTCAATTCTCTTTCAGATAAGGAATCAATTGGTTCTGAGTTGCTCCAGAAAGCAAAATGCCTGGAAGTCACAGAAGGAAAATCAGATCAATAAAAAAATAAAAATAAAAATAAAAAAAACTGATTTGGGAGAAGGGGCACTGAGCAGTGGGAGGGCACATTCCCTAGGCCCAAGCCCCCAGTTGATCCCCAGTACCATGTTAAATTTTTTAAAGCAATTACCTCTTTAATAAGTTACATTTTAAAAGTAATTACCTTGGTCAGGCATAGTACCACTCACCTTTAATCCTAGCATTCACAAGGCAAAGGCAAGTGGATCTCTGTGAGTTTAAGGCCAGTCTGGTCTACACAGCTAATTCCAGGTCAGCTGGGGCTACATAGTGACACCTTGTCAAAAAAAAAAAAAAAAAAAGTAATAACCTCCGGAATTTTAAAACTTACCATAGCATAGGAGAACAAAAAAACAGTATCGAGTGTACCAAGGAAAAGAGTGGCTTCCTCTGTGCTAGGGAACAAACGGTTGCTGGTCCAGACCTGCAGAGACACAGGACCAGTCACTCCTGCTGCTGGGACCCATTAGTACCTCACAGCTCCCACCCAACCCCTTCACAATCACCTGTGCCCACTGCACCCACTGCCATTCCCACAGAACCCTGGTGGTGAAAAGAACAAACCAGTGGATAAGAAAGCACATTGCACAAAAACGTAAGGGATGTGCCTGGGGTCAGATCCTATGTGAGAAGCCGCTGGCTTCTGAAAGAGCCACTTTTACTTCACATGCATTTGACTTTTTTTTTTTTTTTTTTTTTTTGGTCTTTTTGAGACAGGGTCTCCCTGTAGCTCCCGCTGTAGACCAGCTGTAGACCAGGCTGGCCTTGAACTCACAGACATCTACCTGCCTCTGCCTCCCATGTGCCGGGATTAAAGGCGTGTGCCACCACGCCTGGCACTTCACATGCATTTGAACCACTGAAATGCTAATGACTAAACTGAATCAATGAGAAAACTGGGAAATAAATACAAATGCAGACATTCTATCTTTTTTAAAAAATATTTTATTATTTTTATGTGTATGAGTTGCCTACATGTATGTATATGTGTGCCTATGTCATGCAGTGCCCACAGAGTTCAGAAGAGGGCGTCGGGTTTCCCTGGAACTGGAGCTACAGACCATTGTTAGCTGCCATATAGGTGTGGGACTAGAACCCTAATCCTCTGCAAGAGCAGTCAGTGCTCTTAACTGCTATGCTATCTCCCCAGCCCCTGACTATAATCTTTTTGTCTTACAGAATTAAATATCCAGTAAATTAGAAATGGTGTGCACCTGGATATAAAATCCAGGTATTTTATATACTCTAAAAACAACCCACATATCAGAGGCTGCTGGGAGCTGGGGAGCAGGAAGACTTGACTAACTTCCTAACCTATCAAACCTGGGATGGTCTTGGGGAATGACAACCCAGGTTCCTAAAAAACAAAGGCAGCTTGAGGCAGTGCAACCAGAAATTAACTACCTAAATCAAATCCCAGCTTCCTGGATACTGGGCAGACTACACATGACACCCCACACTGAGGGCTCAGTGTTACCAAACTACAACTGACGGAATCAACAAGAGAAACCAGAGGCGGGGGTGGGAGGGTGGAGGGGTGCCAGGGCCCAGCAGGTACAGGTACTTGCTGCCAAACTTGACCTGAGTTGGATTCCCAAGCCCCATGTGGCAGAAGGTTAGAACTGACTCCCACAATCAGGACCTCCAGATTCAGGCTATGGCAAGTGGGGATGTGGGTGGGATGCCTGGACACACACACACACACACACACACACACACACACATACAAAGAACTAAATAAAAAGTAACTGCCCACCTCTAGGTGGTTATCTTTCAACAATGCCAAGATAAACACATTTACCCAGTCAGTTAACAGTCTAAACTCAAGTGCAAGGTCTCCCTCTATCTCAGCATCTTTTAAAGTTCTTGCTAACTTAAATTTCAGAGAAACTGTGCACAGCCCTTCAGCCAGAATAGGAGCCCCATGAAGGCAGGCTCTCTTTTCATTTCAATCTCTGGGTTGTTAATTTTTTTTTTTTTTTAAATCTCTGTATCTAGAACACAGCTTAGGGAGACTATTGTTCCTAAGTAAATGACTGAATGACTTATTTACACTTGGGAAATATTTCTATCACAACAAATGGCTACCAACTTTGAATGAGTCCAAATAAAGGAATTAATATTTAAGAAATAAAACATGCCAAGGATATTAATAGCATATCTATTATTACATATAAGCAGAATTCAAGAAACATAGTCAAGATTAAGTGAAGAAATTTGTACACTGAGAAAGGGCCACTTGTCCCAAACAAGTGTTAAAAAAAAATTCACTTGGTTTATAGTGAATATGAAAAACAGGGATACTGGGGCTGGAGGGCTGGCTCAGTGGCTAAGAATGCTTGCTGCTCTTCCAGAGGACTCAAGTTCAATTTCCAGCACCCATGTTGGGCAACTAACAACCACCTGTAACTCCTGCTCCAGGAGATCCAATGCCCTCTTCTGGCCTCTGCAGGCACTCGCATACTAATTTGGCACACACAGATACATACACATAAGTAAAAAATTAAAAGAAATATTGAAAGAGAGAGAGAGAGAGAGAGAGAGAGAGAGAGAAACTGGAATATATATTCACTGACTTCAAGGTACAAACAACCTGGGGATCATGGCTCATACTTTTAATCCCAGCATTTGGGAGGCAGAGGCAAGCAGATTATCGTGAGTTCAAGGCCAGTGGTCTACATAGGGAGTTCTAGGCCAGTCATAGCTACATATTAAGACCCTGTCTCAAAATAGGAAAAAGAAAACTTTGAAAAAGTTGTAGTTTGCTGCACATGACAATTTGTGTTTTGTTTATTTGTTTGTTTGTTTGAGACAGGCTGGCCTAGAACTTGCTGTGTAAACCAAGCAGGCCTCAAACTTACAGAGGTATCTGCCAGACTGCCTCGGTCTCCCAAGGCATGCACTAACACACCCAACCTTTTTAAATTTTTTAAATTGTATGTATATGGGTATTTTGCTTACATGTAAAGTAAGTGCACCAGGTATGTGCAGTGCCCACAGAGGCCCAATGGCGTCTGACCCTCTGGAATTGGAGTTACAGATGGTTATTAGCTACCATATGGTTAGTGGAAACCCAATTCAGGTCTTCTGCAAAAGCAGCCACTGCTCTTAATCTCTAGCCCCCATGACACATATTTGGAATCCTACCACTCTGAGAGGCTGAGGCAAGAGTATTCTTCAGGTTTGTGGTCAGGCAATTATAGACTATGTCTCAAAAAAAATTGTTTTGTAAAGGGTTGGAGAGATGACTCAGCAGCTAAGAGCACATACCACTTTTCCAGAGGACCAGAGTTCAATTCCCAGCACCAACGTCAGGCAGCTCACAGCCACCTGTAACTCTAGTCCCCAGAGAGCCAACACTTCTAGCTCCCATGGGCACCTGCACTGACATATACACACTCACACAGAAACATACACACACATACACATGATTTAAAATAACTCTTAAAAAAAATAAAAAACTGAATATTCTCAGATAAAACCTTGACTAGACATATATTTTGTTCCTTAAACTAGTTGACTAAGCTATGACCTTAGAAATTTTAAGATTATCAGAGCTGGAGAGATGGCTCAGCAGTTAAATACTGGCTGTTCTTGCAGAAGACCCACGTTCGAATCCCAGCACCCACATGGCAGCTAACAACTGTCCGTAACTCCAGTTCCAGGGGATCTGACAGCCTCTTCTGTCTTCCATGGGCATCGCACGACACTGGTGCACTTACTTACATGCAGGCAATACACAAATACACATAAAATAAAAATATTTTTAAAAATGTAGTATTATGTACATATTATCTTTGTCTCACTTGTTCTAGTGTAACAAACCTACATATACCTCCATCACTTGCTTAGCCTTTTTCATCTTCCATTTTCATAACCTTCTAACATCTTTTACCTTTTCATTTTCTTTTTTAATAACCATGATATAATAACATTAATAAATAAATTTTCCATCTGTTGTCAAAATGTCCTTGGGCCTTTTAGCAACATATTCCATTCCAAAGGCCAAAAATGTCAAAAGTATTTGGGAGCTCTTATCTAATCCCTAAAAGATTTTAGGGTTACCTCTTCAGAGGGGGTAATGTCAGAGCAGCAAAAAGCCCCATAAATTTAACTGGTTCAGACTATAAAAAAACGTCTACTCTATCTTGGAGGACTCCATTTTCTAGTCTCACTGGTCAATTACCTGGTGATAGAACCACTCCTAGGAAGGCAGGTTAAGTTATGCTAAATAGATGGGCGGGATACCTGGTGCGTTAATGGGGTAGCAAATATATCCTGCCTGGAACTAGTGCAGACCTCCGCAGAACTTCTGGACCAGCCAGTCATGTAGGTCTCCGTAAGTCTGTCTGCTTTCCTGAACTCTTCAGGAAGGTGTTATTTCTCCTTTCTTCGTCAGGCCTTTCTTACTAAACATGCTTTCTTTAAGGCTTTGGGCTGCCCCTACCATCTTTTATTTCTTCACTTTTCTTTAAAGCTTCCTCCTCCCAGCCATGTGGCTGCAAGTCAGCCACGTGTCTAACCTCCAGCAGGCTCTAAACCTGCATTGCCTCATGATTTTCTTTACTTAATTCTTCCCACCCATTCACCTCCTCAAGGCAGCTGAACAGCTCGCCTACCCTGACGATTTTCTTTAAGGGTCTAATAAAATTATAAAAAGCTTCAAAAAAAATTAAAAATAAATAAATAGAGGACTAGAGAGATGGCTCAGCAGTTAGGAACACTTGTTGAGCAATCATGAGGACTGAAGGTCAGATCCCATCACCATGGAACAAGCCAGGCATCATCAGCCATCCAATGCATGCCTATAACCCCAGCTCTGAGGAGGTCAGAGACAAGAGGCTCACTGGGGCTTGTTGTCCTAGCCAAGAAATGCAAGCCCCAAATTCAGGGAAAGACCCTGCCCCAAAGGAATAAGTTGAGAGCAGCAGGAGAGGACACTTGGCATACCAGCACACACATGCACATACATCAGACACACACGCACACATAAATAAACTTTAAAAAAGAAATAGTATTTTATGTCATCCTGAAGAGAAAAGCAATATTTAGATAGAAAAGGTGAAAGACTTGATTTTTTTTTTTTTAAGTGAAATCTAAAAGGGAGAAATGGACACAGTAGCTGTAAAAACTCAGGGAAGCCTCGTCAGAGCTGTAGGATTTCAAAACAGTGAGAAATAAGCTGGTTGGCTGGTAAAATGGGCTGAATCTGAGCAGGCTTTGAAACTGACAACAGTATGGACCTTATGCCCTAGAACATGGTAGGCTGTTTCAAAGTCCTAAGCAGGTGAATGACACAAAAAAAGAACTTTGGGGGTGTGTTTTGGGGTGGACACAGACCCTTTCTTAACTGCACCCCAACACTTTGCTTACCTCTGCAGGCAGTTCAGCAGATGTATTAAAAGCAGTTGGGGTCCACTGCTTGGAGACACTGACTTTGACATTGCTAAATGTTTTTCTTGACGCATGGAGCAACGAGTAACTGAAAAACAGAAGACACACAACCACATGAGCAGAAAAAACAGCACGCGAGTGACCAGACATAGGCCTATTTGCTTTACTCAGTTCTGGAATTCTTTTTTTTAAGTCTTCTTTTTTTTCAGAGACAGCGTTTCCCTGCAGCCCCAGCTAGTCTGGAACTTGCTATGTAAACTAGGCTGGTCTTAAACTCACAGAGATCTGCCTCCCAAGTGCTGGGATTAAATGCGTGAGCCACCACGCCCGGCTCAACTCTGAAATTATTCTGAATTTTTAATTTATTATTTTTATTTTATGTGTATGAGTGTAGTGCCTGCATGTAAGTGCACCTGTGTCATGCAATGCCCATGGAGATGAGAAGTAGTAACTGGATCCCCTGGAACGGGAGTTACAGATGCTTGTTAGCCACTATGTGGGTGCTGGAATTTGAACCCAGGACCTCTGCAAGAGCAAACAGTGCTCTTAACCACTGACCCATCACTCTAGTCCCATTTTCTGGAATTCTTTGTGTAAAGCAAAGTACCATTTTATAAGATCTATTGATTAAGACAGTCTCTGATTTAAAAAAAAAAAAAAAGCTGTCATATAACTCCACTGTTGACTTGAACTTATCCCTGGAACTAGGTTCAATAGACCTCGCCCACCTTAAGGCAAGGTAAAAGATCTAGAGAGCATTTTGGGCTTTCAGCAACCACTGGACTCACAGCATTAGCCATTCAGTAGCTTTTTCCTCATATTCTTGTCTTTTCCTATACCTGCTCCCATCTCTTCCAAGTGAAGAGCCCCTAAACCCAGCAGCCAAAAATTATCAACTATTACATAACCAGAGAACCACCAGGCGTGGTGGTGCACACCTTTGATCCCAGCATTCAGGAGGCAGAGGCAGGTAGATTTTGGTGAGATCCAGGCCAGCCTGATCTTCACAGTGAGTTCCAGGCCAGCCTGGGCTGCAGAGAGATCCTGCATCAAAAAAATAAGTAATCGAGGTGTGGTGGCAGATGCCTTTAATCCCAGCACTTGGTAGGCAGAGACTGGTGGATCTCTGTGAATTCAAGGCCAGCCTGGTCTACACATTGAGTTCCAGGCCAGCTGGGGCTACAGGGAGACCCTGTCTCAAAAAAGACCAAAAAAATAAAAAATAAAAAAATAAAAGCCAGGCAAGGTACACGCCTTTAGTCCCAGCACTCAGGAAGCAGAGGCAGCAAATCTCTGTGAGTTTGAGGCCAGCCTGATCTCCATAGTGAATCCAGGTCAGCTGTGGCTAGAGGGAGACCCTGTCTCAAAAAGACCAAAAAATAAATAAGTAAATAAAATAAGTAAATAAATAGAGAACCATTTCCCTAATTTCTGTTTTAAGGGAAAAAAATATCACCCATTTGTTATGCCTTCAGTAAAGATTAATAGGGCTGATGAGATGGCTCAGCAGATAAAAGTACCTACTACCAAGCCTGATGACCCGAGTTCAGGTCCCCAGACTCACATGGTAGAAGGTGCAATTTGTCCTCTGACTTCCACTTGTATACAGTGACACACAGGCATTTCCCCGAACCCCAGCCAATATATAAATAAGATTAATAATAATATATGAGAAGAAATTTCAAGATACTTAAACAAACTTATAAAGAATACATGCCTGACGACAAATGGCCTAAAAAGATACTAAAAAGATCACTTAGAGCTACAGAATCATAAACATGGGCAAGTCCTTCAGCCATGTTGACTAAGTTAGGGGCTGCTGACCCTCAGGTCTCACAGGAGTGCCAGAATTCCTTCAACATCCCACACTATCTTTCCTATTCTAGGCTCTGTGCATCTTGTGTGCATCTCTTGGACAAACAAGTTCTCTGTTTACAAGTTCTTCATTTCAATAAGTAGTACTTGATATCGGATTGGGGTTTCTCAACCTCCACAATACTGACATTTTATGTCAGAGCTCTTGGTTCATGGGACTAGCCTATGCATGAGGGTACTGAGCAGCACCCCAGTCTCTGGGACCCGATACAAACAGCAACCCTCTACCATCAGGACAATCAAAATGTTACCAAACTGTCAATAGCCCCTGGAGAGCAAAGTGACCTTGAGAACTACTCTACAGAGCTATCAACAAAGTACAGTGGGGGTACCTGGAGTGGTGGTGGACATCTGTAATCCCAGCACTAGAGAGGAAGAGGCAGAAGGATGGCAATTTCAAAGACAGCCTAGAGTACACTATGAGTTCAAGACCAACCGGAGTTATACAGCAAGACCCTGTCTCAATAAAAACAAGGACTGAGAATGTAGTTAAGTGGTAAACCTAGAATCAAGTATAAGGCACTGGGTTCTATTCCCAAAGCTGTAAAATAAATAAAATTAAATAGTTGTGGTGGTTTGAATGAAAATGTCCCCCACAGGCTCCAAGTATTTGGACATTTTGTTCCCAGATGGTTGCGCTATTTTGGGAGGTCTTAGAAGGTATGGTTATCCTGGAGGAAGCACGTCACTGAGGGTGGGCTTAGAGAGTTCTTAAGCCTTGCTGGAACTCCAGATCTGCTTTTCTGTTTCCTGTGCCTGCTGGAAGATGTAAAGCTTAGCTTCTCTACTCCTCCTCCAGCCACCTCTGCCGCCATGGCTTCCCACCAAGATGGACTGTAATTCCCCTGGTACCGTAAACTCAAATAAACTTCCTTTTATAAGTGTTTTGGTTAGTGTTTCTATCACAGCAACAGAAAAGTGACTAATACAATGGTTGAGTGCAGGCTTATCACATACAAATACTATGGTTTGGCCCCCATCACCATCACAAATTAATTAAAATAAAGTTCAAAAGTTGAATTATGGTAATATAAAAGTATTTAGAGGAAAATTTTTTAGAGTAAAAGAGAGAGCAGAGAGTACAGAGGTGTAGCTCAGTGACAGAATATGTGCTTAGCATAACTGAGGCCCTGGATTCCATTCCCAGCATCAAATCCCAAACCAAATATAACAAAGTGCAAAAGAAAATTATTTCATTTCAGCCTGCGCCAATCAGTGCACTAGACACTCCAATGCTGTCTGTCTCCCAAAGGCAGAACGGAAGCACGTTCCAGCCAGGCACTACCTGAAGAAGGTCAGCAGGAACACAACCACGTGGTGATGGCTGAAGCGGGCAAGCAGAGTTCCTCGCTGAAAAACACGTGGCCAGGCCATGGTCTCCCCACCTCCCTCTCACACTGGCCTTAAAGTTTCCACAGTGAATGAAGGAGTCACATCATTTCTTTTTTCTGGAAAGATAAAAATACATTATTGACACTTTTCAAACAAAAGCCAGGCTTAGTGGCACATACCTATATTCCAAGCACTTAGGAGGCTAAAGCAGGGAGATTGAGAGTTACTTCAAGGTCATCCTTAGCTACATGCTGAGTTTGAGGCCAACCTGGGCTACAAGAGACCCTGTCTAAACACACACACACACACACACACACACACACACAAATGATAATTTAAATGATCGAGAATAATTTTGTAAAAGCTAAATTAGGTTTATGACCAGTCAAAAAATAACCAAACCTTCAGGTAAAATTATCTCATGGGCCAGTTGACACCAGAAAAATGAATTGATAATTATGTTTTTCAGTTCAAATGGGTAGAGTAGAAAGGAGCCTCCTAGCTGCAGGGACACACCTTTAATCCCAGAACTCCAGAGGCACAGGCAAGCAGGTCTCTGTGAGGCCAGTCTGGTTCACATAGTGAGTTCCAGGCCAGGTAAGGACACATACCAAGGCCCCGTCTTTATTTAAAAAACAAAATAAAAAACACTCCACTGACAAAATGTAAATAAACTTTCTCTCTATAATTCCAGGAGTTACAAAACCAAGAGCTATTACTTGATACTACTAAATTTACCTCCATCTCCAAAATTAAACGAGTGCAACAACCCAAAGTTCTAACTACTCTCTAGAAATTATAGATCTTGAACTAGAAATGTAGCTCTGTTGGTAAAGTACTTGCCCAGCATGCAGGAGGCCCTGGGCTTGATCTCTAGACCATATAAATCAGACATGGTGATGCATGCCTATAATGCCAGCACTGGGGAGGTAGAAACAGGATGAGAAACTCAAGGTCATCCTCAGCAACACAGTGAGTTCCAGTTCTCAAAAATAAATGAAGAAAAGGAAGTTAAACTCTTTTAATTGAACACATTCCACCTCAAAACACTGCAAGAAACTAAGATATAAAATCCAAATTGTGGGGTTTGAGAGATGGTTCAGTGGTTAAAAGCACTGAATGCTCTTGCAGGAGACGCAGGTTCAAATCCCAGCACCCACATGGCGGCTAACAACTGTCTGTAACTTCAGTTCCAGGGGATCAGGTGCCCTCTTCTGTCCTCTACAGGCACTGCACAACACAGATGCACTTACACACATGCAGACATACCACTCATACACATAAAATAAAAGTAAATTAAAAATAAATAAGATTCAAATTGTAATATAAGAAAAACTAGGGCCAGATGGCTCAGTGGGTTACGGCATTTAACCATGAACCTTGAAAACTTGAGTTCAATCCCAAGGACCCACAAAGTAGAAAACCAATTCCCGGGGCTGGAGAGATGGCTCAGCAGTTAAGAACGCTGACTGTTCTTGCAGAAGACCTGGGTTAGAATCCCAGCACCCACATGGCAGCTAACAACTGTCTGTAACTCCAGTTCTAGGGGATCCAACAGCCTCTTCTGTCCTCCGCGGACATTGCATGACACAGGTACCTTTACCTACATGCAGGGAATACACACATATACATAAAATAAAAATAATAAATAAAATATTAAAAAAGAAAAAAAAGAACCAATTCTCTTGGGCTGGAGAGATGGCTCAGCAGTTAAGAACACTGACTGCTCTTACAGAGTATCTGGGTTTGATTCCCAACACCCACATGGCAGCTAACAGCTATCCATAACTCCAATCCCAGGGGAATCTGACGCCTTCTTCCCACCTCACAGGTATTGCATGACACAGGTGCACTTACACCGTGCAGGCAATACACTCATATACATAAAATAAAAATAGCTGCTGGACATGGTGGTGCATGTCTTTAGTCCCAGCACTTGGGAGACTGAGGCAGGCAGATCTCTGTGATTTCGAGGCCAGCCTGGTCTCCATAGTGAATCCAGGCCACCTGTGGCTACAGGGAGACCCTGTCTCAAAAAGACCAAAAAAAAAATAATAATAAAATAAAAACAGAATATTTTTTAAAGAACCAATTCCCAGAAGCTGTCCTCTGACCTCCACACATGTACATACAGTGGCACATGTGTATCACCACTCCCCCAAATACACAGAAATGAACAAGTGCGATAAAAAAATAAATAAATACATTAACTCCAATAATTTATCAGGTAAAAATAATCCCAAAAAGGTACACTCCAGCCGGGCATGGTGGTGCACGCCTTTAATCCCAGCACTTGGGAGGCAGAGGCAGGCGGATCTCTGTGAGTTTGAGGCCAACCTGGTCTACATAGTGAGTTCCAGGACAGCTGGGGCTACAGGGAGACCCTGTCTCAAAAAGACCCAAAAAAAAAAAAAAGGTACACTCCAATGAATTGGGATTATACTGCTTGGAAATAGTTATGTAATTCAGAGCCATATGGTTTTACATACATATGTGTGTGTACACACACACGCACACGCGAGTCTTTAGATAATTACTGAGATATTTGAGATCATGTGGATTCAGTTTCTAAATAAAACACCTTGTCCTAAGCCAGGCGTGGTAGCACACACCTTGTAGTCCCAGCACTTGGGAGGCAGAGGCAGGCGGATCTCTGTGAGTTCAAGGCCAGCCTGGTCTACGTAGTGAGTTCCAGGACAGCTCAGGCTACAAGGGAGACCCTGTCTCAAAAAGACAAAAACAACAACAACAAAAAAAAAAAAAAAAACAAAAAACACCTTGTCCTAAGCTACAGAGATGGAGGAGAAAGGCCTTAATAAGTACAGTGGGAAAACAGTTTTAAACGTCACCTGCTATTGGCAGGCTGCCATTTGAAATAAATACTATTATGCCACTTGGTCCTATGTAATTAGAATAATTAAAAAGAACACTTGTGGGCATATATGCTGCACATCCCAGAGATGGATTCCAATTAGATGTGAACTAGGGGCCCTGGAATATGAGAGTGTCTTGTCAAGTCTGAATCATCTAGTACATCCTTTCTGAAGACTGCTTTTAATGCAAACTGGGAAGATGTCTAGCAATTTACAAGTTAGCCAGTACTGTTATAATTAATAAACCCAATTCTACCCTCCTATCCTCTTTTTTTTAATATTTTATTTATTTTTTTATTTTACATGTATGTGTGTATTGCCTGCATGTAGGTAAGTGCACCTGTGTTTTGCATTGCCCGAGGAGGACAGAAGAGGCTGTCGGATCCCCTGGGACTAGAGTTATGGACAGTTGTTAGCTGCCATGTGGGTGCTGGAATTCGAACCTGGGTCTTCTGCAAGAACAGCCAGTGTTCTTAACCACTGAGCCATCTCTCCAGCCCCTATCCTTCTCTTTTCTAAACAGAGTCTAGGTATCCTACCTAGGCTGGCCTTGGACTTTCTATGTAGTCAAGGATGACTTGATCTTCCTGCCTCCACCTCCCAAGAGTGCAGGCATTACAAGTATATGCCATCATACCCAGCTTAATAAAGTCAAAATTCTGATTTTATATCCATACTCAGATGCCAAGGAGCTCAGAAAGTAACTGTGACTAGTAATAATCTGATACATAGAAATTAAAAACACATGTGTAATCATCTTAATGTCAATTGCATTAAAAATGAAGTTTTCTGTATAAAACTCTGTATTTTAATAATGAAATGGAGATCTTTTTTAAAGGTTAAAACCTCATTTAATTTTATGTCTTATAGGGATTATACTGAGTACAATATTGTATAACTGTAAAAATTCAACCGTAAACCTAAAACTATACAGCCAATTTTGTAAGAGATACATCCTAGCTCAGACAATTGCTATTGAATATGTCAACGCTGATGTAATGAAATGCTTCTTCTAAGTATGTGGTTATTAAATAAATAATTTTTTAAAAAATTCTACGTTTTGAGAGGTTTGGTTTTGTTTTGGTCTTTTTGAAACAGGGTCTCCCTATAGCCCCAGCTGGCCTGGAACTCGCTATTTAGACCAGGCTGGCCTTGAACTCACAGAAATTTGCCTGCCTCTGCCTCCCAAGTGCTGGGACTACAGGCATGTGCCACCACGCCTGGCAAGTCTATGTGTTTTAAATCATAGTAGTTTGTCATTTAGTATTTTCCCAGTGATTACCAAACATATAACTATCATATAATAGTTGATATATAGAATCAGCTTCTTTTTATTGTTTATGTACTTATTACTATGAGTGTTGAAGGTTGTGAGCAACAAGTCACAGTACACCTGCGGAGGTCAGAGGACAACTTTCAGGAGTTGGTCTTCTACTTCCACCAAGGGTTCCTGGGACCAAACTCAGGTCATCTGGCTTACACAGCAAGCACATTCACCCACTGAGCTATCTTGCTAGTCCTAACTCTTCTTATATCTCTTTTTTGTTTTGTTTTGGTTTGGTTTTTGAGGGTTTTTTGAGACAGCACCTCCCTGTAGCCCCAGCTGGCCTGGAACTCCCTATGTAGGCCAGGCTGGCCTCAGTCTCACAGTGATCCACTTGCCTCTGCCTCCAAAGTGCTGAGATTAAAGGCATGTGCCACCATGCCTATTTCAATTTTTTAATTTACTTCACAAAATACAGCATGGACATCATATACAGCAAGTTCTGAAATAGGTTTACCTTGTGGAATGGCTCCATCAAGGGAATTAATAAGAGCATTACCTTATACACTTACCATTTTTTTGTGATGGGAAAACTTAAAGTCTACACTGTTACTGGCTACAATCACCATGATATACAACAGACCTCTTGAACTTATTCCTTCAACCTGAATGGACTTTTGTATCCTTTGAGCAATACTTTCACAGTTAACTTAAAAGGGAAAAAAAAAAAAAAAAAATCAAATAAGATCCCAGGCCCTTCAACCAAAGCCTTTAATCCAAGCCTTTAATCCCAGATTGTCCCAGATAGAGACAATCTCTGAGTTCAAGGCCACCCTAGGGCTGGAGAGATGGGTCAGCAGTTAAGAGCACTGGCTGTTCTTGCAGAGGATCCAAGTTTCGTTCCCAGCACCCACATAGCTGTTAACAACCATCCATACCTACTGTTTCAGGGGATTCAATGCCCATTTTCTGGCCTCCA